TGGATGGGCTGCAGGGGAAGAGCAGAGAGCTTTCTGCCAGTTAGAGATGCTGCTCTCATGTTACACCAGACCTCAGTCAAACGACCTTGAATGTGTAACAACTGGATCAGCTGTGGAGGCAGGCCAAAACCAATGCCTGATGGTTCACACTCCGTACTCTTCCACATGTATTTGTACTATAAATTCCAGAATTAAATAAATATATAATTTTGAAAAAAGTATATAAATAATTACATAAATCTAATTATCAACATCAATCTACATGTTACAAATGACAGACAGAGAGACAGATAGACAGACAGAGATATAGATAGATAGACAGATAGACAGACAGACAGACAGAGATAGACAGACAGACAGACAGACAGACAGATAGATAGATAGTCTTAATAGCCCGGTTTCCATCAAAGGTGCGAATTTAACTTATGCGCAAAATTTAAATATCACATAAAACCAGTGTTGGGGAAAGTTACTTTTAAAAGTAATGCATTACAATATTGCGTTACTCCATAAAAAAGTAACTAATCAAATGTTTGTCTAGTCATTTTTGCTTATTAGTATGGTTGAACTGGATCATCGGAGGTCAAAAGCAAAAACATTGGTTAATAGAATGGGATTAAATACATAAAGGATATTTGTTTTTTAATCTTGTAAATTAAGAAGTAATGCGTTACTTTACTAGTTTACTTGAAAAACAGTAATCTGATTACGTAAACTCACGTTACTTGTAATGCGTTACCCCCAACACTGCATAAGATATTTGCGAATAAGCACCGTTTCCACCCAACAAGTCAAAGAGAACAAAATCGTCACTTCCTGGTAGAACTGGCTCTAGGCTATATATCACTATGAAAAGTAGGAGAAACCCTTGAATATAATAATTTTCATAGGCCTATATAATAAATTGCTTGCGCCTCAGAGCGAGCAGATGAAACTAAATAAATGCGGTCATTGCTTTCGGAGGTGGATGCTGCTGTTTGGGAACGCAGTCGTGTAACAGTTCTGGGAGGCAATTATACAGAAATGCGTTGATGACAGACTTTGCTCGGACATTTCAAAATGACCATAACATTTCAGATGCTGAGGAACGAGATTGGTCCACTGGTTAGGTTTTGCCATCCCATAGCGCAGTCACATGACTTTTTTGATGCGCATGGAGGAATTTACTTGGCAAATGCGTTTCCATCTCCTTTTATTCGCATTAACCCTTTTTCATACAAGTCAAAAACCACCTCAAGCGAGCGTAAAAACTTTTTTTTGCGAATTAAGGGATTTTTATTCAAAATTTGCCATTTCCATCACCCGTTTCTGATGCGATACTTCAAAATGCGCATAAAAACGGTGATGAAAACATAGTATGTTAATCTAATTATACTATACATACTGTGCCAAAGTCTTGAGACACTAGTATTTTCACCAAAAAAAAAAGAAAAAAGTTTTAAGTCATTTATTTCGATCTTTTGCTTTCCAAACATTCATTTTGCCATTAACTGTAATAATCCAGTGAGATTTTTGTCTGACAACAGCCAGTGCTGCACACAGAGATCTGATCTGATCATCATCAGTCTGTCTGGAATACATGAAGAAACAGAACAAACTGAGACAGACTCAATCCAGAAGAACTGTGGCAACGTCTCCAAGAAGCTTCAAGAGACCTACCTGCAAACTGAACTCTGCCCAAGTGCACCTACGACAAAAGCTGCTTTAAACGCAAAGGATGCTCACACCAAATGTTGATTTAATTTAGTTAATAGAAGTTAATTGATAAATAATTTTTGAAAGCATCACTTTTTTTTTTTTTACAGCATTTTTACACAAGTAGAACTTTTCACAATACGGTAGCTTTGCAGGAAGGTTTCCTCAAGCATCTTAGAGACATTGTTTTGCCACATTTCTCGGCAGACCTGTCTTATTGACCAAGGGCGAGCAAGAGCATAATGCTTTAGTATAAATAGCATACCCTTTTATTGATAAATAAATAAATAAACAAAAAAAATAATATTCTCTATAAATACTCTGTGTGGTATATATACTGGCTATGCAAAACCATTAAGTAGGACACTTCCCAAAGCATAAAAGTCAGTTGGGTTAGAATCCTGTTTGACAAGATTTTCAAATTAATCTAGAACAGGTTTGTGTGGCGTCTTTGTGAAAATGTAACCGCCTCAGCGCCTTCAGATTTCAGAGCCTCTCACATGGATAACAGTCTTCACATTTAGTGTCCTCAGTCCTTTCACTTTCTTCTCCAATCTTTGCTGCAAAGCAAAAATAATCTTTGAAGAAAATTGTATTTAATGTTTAATCTTTCCCACAAAGTTTCTTAATAATTGCCCTCCTCAGAATGGATGAAAGTTGTGGCGTTTTTATTTTTTTAGTCTTTTAAATAGACTTTAGTTATGTCACAGTCATAAACATGATTTGCTTAGGGTGGATTAGTGTAATGTAGGACACTTTTTGCAATTTTGAATTGTGTATCATATTTCTACATGAAGCCAAAACAATAAATCAAAATCTTATTTTGAAATCCCCAAAATGTTTCCTAACTAAATCAGAAGAAATTTTTCAGATATTGTACTTAAAGGGGAAAGGGCACAGCTTTTAGTGCTCCTTGTGCCAACTCGTTTAAAGGGTTACACTCTTAAAAATAAAGGTGCTTCAAAAGGTTCTTCAAGCGATGCCATAGGAGAACCATTTTTGGTTCCACAAAGAACCATTCAGTAAAAGGTTCTTTAAAGAACCATCTCTTTCTTACCCTTTTATAATCTGAAGAACCTTTTTTCGCCACAAAGAACCTTTTGTGAAACAGAAAGGTTCTTCAGATGTTAAAGGTTCTTTATGGAACCATTTAGACAAAAAGGTTCTTCTATGGCATCGTGAAGCACCTTTTATTTTTAAGAGTGTACTTCACCCCAAAATGAAAATGTTGTCATTAATCACTTACCCCCATGTCGTGCCAAACCCGTAAAAGCTTCGTTCGTCTTCGGAACACAATTTAAGATATTTTGGATGAAAACCGGGAGGCTTGTGACTGTCACATTGACTGCCAAGTAAATTACTCTGTCAAGGTTCAGAAAAGTATGAAAGACATTGTCAGAATAGTCCATCTGCCATCAGTGCTTCAACCGTAATGTTATGAAGCGACGAGAATACTTTTTGTGCGCGAAGAAAACAAAAACAATGACTTTATTCAACAATTCGTCTCCTCTGTCTCTCCGCATCACTGTAGTGCCATTTTGGAGAATATCTGCTGAACGCAAGCAGCATACGCTCTTCTGTGTCAGCCGCGACACAAGGATACGTTTTCTATGTGTATTTACGCCTCCACCCCAAAATGAAAATTTTGTCATTAATCGCTTACCCCCATGTCGTTCTAGACCCGTAAAAGCTTCGTTCGTTTTCGGAACACAATTTAAGATATTTTGGATGAAAACCGGGAGGCTTGTGACTGTCCCATAGACTGCCAAGTAAATTACACTACGCTCTTCTGTGTCAGCCGCGACACACGGATGCGCTGTTTTCGTTCAAATCAAAGCGTAAATACACATAGAAAACGTATCCTTGTGTCGCGGCTGACACAGAAGAGCGTAGTGTAATTTACTTGGCAGTCTATGGGACAGTCACAAGCCTCCCGGTTTTCATCCAAAATATCTTAAATTGTGTTCCCGAAGACGAACGAAGCTTTTACGGGTTTGGAACGACATGGGGGTAAGTGATTAATGACAAAATTTTCATTTTGGGGTGGAGTATCCCTTTAAGAATTTGTGAATTTTCTAATGTGGGACAGTGCGTGCTCAAATCTAGGACACTATGTTTTGTGTTAGAAATAGTTAAATTTTTACAAAGCAAACTTCACATTTAACACTCCTGGATAAATGTGCATACCCATGTTTGCTGAATTAATTTAGTAGGCCTACGGCGTGTTTGCTGTCTTCGTCAGTTTGTCTAAAAACCTAGTACCCAATATGTTCATATGAGTAATGCTAAATACAACTATATAACACAGAAATCTTATACCATTTAAAGGAATTTATTTAAAAAATGTCAGATTTCTAGCAGCAACAAAAATAATAACTATATAATGAAGTCAAAAATATAAAATTGGACTTAATTAAGATAGCAAAATAATTTCATAAATGATTTAAAAAAGATACAAACTTTGGAACATGGAATGCCTATAAAACTGTTATTAAACTTCTATACTCTGCACATGGTAAGAATATGGAACATGTATTTTCAAAAGCATGTGTTAAGCAAATTGTAATGGTAAAACACTCCATAACAGAAAGTAGAAGTCCTGGCCGGTCATGGCCTTATCATGGTCCAAGATCTTATCGTCTTCTAGTCACAAAATGTTTAATCTGGATCTTAAAACAAATAAAATTGCTGCATTATAAGCCCCAAAATTAACAAAATTACATGTATGGCATTTAACTTTCTTAATGCACATTTTATCAATTGAATAACATAGAATATCAGACTGTCCCACATTAGTCAAAATGTGCTGTCCCACTTTTGAAACATCCTTTTCTAAAGTGGGACAACAAAGTTTGTATCAAATAGAAAATATTATTAACACATTTTAATATTATTGCAAAATTTGTTGTACAAATACATCACAAATATAATTTGATAACAATTTAGAACATTGTTTTATTTATAACAGATTTATATCCTTAACATTAATTTTGTCTAAATCCTATGTCACTGACCTTTGAGTGCACTTTACAAGAGGTACTTCCTGTTTGATGACTTTAATGGCCACATTTCTGACATAATTTCCAGCAAGTCGAGTGATTTCAATAACTTGACACCCCTGCTTGAATTCAACACCAATCATGTTCACTTTAATGTTGTAAAAGAAGAGATAAACGCACTGAAGCTCAGGTGTCCCACATTACACTAATCCACCCTACTAGCCAGTTGCAGTTTTTCACCCAAAATTCTTAATTTTTGAAGTTAATTTAATAGAATTAAAGATAATACAAGTTGATAGCTATATTAGGCTATAATATGAGTGAAAGGAACGCATTTCATGCTCGTTTAAGGGCTACTTGAGCTTTACTAGGGGACTGTGGAGGTACAAAACCGCTCAAGTAAACTGTTTTAAAACACTTTTATGTTATTGTCGTGGACTGCTCAGTACGAAATCTAAGCACTACGACTCCCTAAAGGTTGAGGAGGACACCCAAATCCATGAACACCAGGACAGTAGCTACCAGAAACCGCTGCGGGGCTGTGACGTCACGGGCGCACCGCCGCCCTGCAGTGTGTCAGGGATTTTAGGAACTAAAGCGCTCACACCGGCGCTATCACTATGGGAATCCTCCGGACACCAGAAGAAAACCGGGAACACGCGAAAACGTTTTGGGATTTGTGACGCATCTGTCGCTGGTTCGCGCGCATCTGCTGCTGTAGCGTCGGTCTCGAGCTGGACAGCGGTCGCTGCGGCTGTTGGGTATAAAATAGACAAGCAAGCCGAAGCATCTCGGCTGAGCGCGAATGCATAATATTTAGCGGTCGGAGCGGAGCATCATTGCCTGGGTGGAGTTGCAGTGCATCGCTCAATTATGCATGAAGAAGCGGCATCGGCTAGCGCACTAGCAGCGCAAGCTAACCACTGTCCCGTATTATGACAGTGATCTGCATGCCTACAGCGTCTGATCATCACGCGTCGCGGTCAATCAAGCGCGTTTGACTCTGATGCTGGTGCTAGATACGGTGGTCTCCGGTAGAAATAAACTTTAGCCCGTCATTTCATTGACATGGCAAACGGCTAGCCAGGGCAGGCCTAGCTAGCCACCGTGTTAGCTAGTAAAAAATCACTTCACTGGATTATAGACAGCATGCAAACCCTAACGGTTTGTTTTTAGAGGGTGCATCCAGTGAGCGAATAATACAGTGTGTTATATATGCGCAGCGAGTAGATGGCTGCTAGTTAATAGCCGAGTTACTGCCAACTTGACAGGTTTTAATATCTGAAAAAAAAGTGGCAGGCGTGCGCGTCTCACAATGCACTTTCTCAAGGCAACTTCGGATTGTGTTACTGAAGCAAACGCTTGGATAATAGAGGCACTGCCCTCCGGCTAGCTAGCTAGTTCTCCGTGACTTTGCGAAGTAACAACATGCCAGATCTTGAGTGGATTTTATGCTCTAAATAAGCAGCCAGCGTTTGCACAGCGCTTTAGCAATTGTAGCTAGATTCTCGCCGGCAAGAGAGGGGATGCCCTAAACGCTCCAAACATGTCCAGCAAAGCTTCGGGCAAAGAGAAGAAGCCCGGCTTCAGCAAGAAGCTCTTCCGCCGGGGCTCGGTGCGCTCCGTGGGGAGTTTCATGAGCAGAGTCCTGAAGACTCTCTCCACGCTTTCTCATTTCGGATCGGAGCTGCACGCGCCCGAGGGCGACAAGGACGATGGGGGATTCATAGCCTTCAAGAACGAGGGCAAGGGATCCGTCGCGTCGGATGACAGCGACTGCGGGGAGTTTCTTGCCAGGGACAAAATCCCCGGAGTGGCCGGTTTGAAGAACCACGGCAATACATGCTTCATGAACGCTATTCTGCAGTGCCTGAGCAACACGGAGCTGTTCGCCGAGTATCTGGCGCTGGAGCAGTACCGAGGCGACCAGACGGACGACGAGAAGCCCAAGACCAACGGGGTCGTGCAGAGGAAGGGCGGTCAGGACAGAGGAGAGGTGACCGAGCAGCTGTCGGGGCTGGTCCGAGCCCTGTGGACCTTTGAGTACACGCCGCAGCACAGCCGAGACTTCAAAGTGAGTTCACGCGGAGGAGTGTGGTGACGTCGTGGGGAAATTTTGCCTATCTGCTGTAACCAGGCATGAACGATTATCTACATTAACCGAAACGAGTCCTGAGAAATTGTATGACACCTCTAGGGATGTTTTGATGATTCGTTTGAGATGATTGGGGATGCTTGCATCAACTTTACAGCCAAGCTAGGTACATAATCACATTCCAGAATATAATACATTTTATTCAGCCTTGGTTTAGCATAACCAAAAACAGAACAAAAAAATGAAAGCAAACTAAACTAAACCAGAAATAAAAATTAAATAAATACATGAGATGCTTCAAAAATAAAATACAACAAAAAGGGCTTTTAAATTAAATTAAACAAATCCAAGAGATAAGTCAATTTAAGGGATTTCTTGTTCTTAACAAATTTTAAAGAGTTTCACCTAATTACACCATTGGATAAAGTTGGGTTTAGATTTAAACCATCTGCACTTGTGAATAAAACAACTTACCGAAACATAACAGGAAATTCATAACAAATTTAAAATCTTTGTTTTCAGGAAAACTACCTAACCTGACAACCTTCACATTGAGTGGTGGGAATTCAACATCCCCGCTTCACAAAAGTCGTTCACAAGTTGGAATGAATCGGTTTGAGCAGGTCAATGACTTGCTGATTCATTGAACTGAGAATCGGATATATAACGGGGAATTAGTAGTCTTGAGTTTTGAATAACATATTGGAAAGATACTTTTCAAAAGAAGTGATTATTGGAAATGTTTCAGACTAATCACAAACAGTGATTACTTTTTGCAGTGATGTTTTGTTGGTTGCTAGTCTGCTTTAAGGTTTAAATGCAAATAGTTTCTCCTATTCCACTTTACAACCATAAGCAAGCCATAGGTAGTTTTCATGGAGAAGTGCTTTAAAATAATTTGGGCAACCTGTTTGGTTTCCTTTGGTTAACCCTTTTAATATATTTAAGTGGTCCTCCCTAGGCATTATTTCAGTCCACTGCTGGTGGAGCAGCATATATGAGTTTTATTCAGTGTTATATTAACCCTGTAAAACCTGAAATGTGAAAATAGTCAGTTGTGTGTGTGTGTTTTTTTTTTTAAATAGAATGGTTTATTGAAATTTTACACAACATCTAACAAAAAGTTGATATAGCGTATGATTTTTTAATGTAATAAAACACATAGTATGATATATGTGGCACATATAGTGATAATATGAAGCTCATGCTTAAGGAAAAAAAAACAACAACTACATTTTGCCCAAACTGAGCAAAAATTGTTGCAGATGTTGTGATTTAGCCTTAATGGCCCAAAAGTAAGAAAAAGTTATATCTTGTTTATTAGTGAGATTTTTATAACAGTATACCAGACTACTTACATAAATGCATATAAATATCAGTTATCACTATATTTCTCCCAGTAAGGCTTAGTTTTATGATCAGAGCTCTGTAGCATGATCAAAGTGCAGGGAAAAGTATAATGCAATTATGATTGAGAAATGCACAAATAAACATTACTCAAAAGCCTGATATATCATATTCGATACTCACATTTTAATGATTTTTCTTAAAAATGTCAAGCAAACCTAAGTTTCTTCAGTCCAATAAATGTTAATCTTAAATGTTCATTCTTACATTAGCTTCCTAAAAATCATTAAAGATTTCACAGCAAAAAGACACAACCTGAAGGTGGAAATACTGACAATTATACTAAAAGTATATACTAAATAAAAATTATGAACTATTAATCAGTCATCAAGGTTTGATCATGTTGATAGATTAGAGTCCTTAGTGAGTCATGTATCAAATATGATTCAGTAGGCTTTAAATGGTTAAAAACACATAAAAGTTAATCCCTAAAAAGCACAGCTGTCAACACTGAATAGAAGTTTTCCATATCTGAACTTGCTTCTGTAGATTAGAAACATTCATGTCGAATTGTTCAAAACTTGACTAATACCCTGTCTGTGTTGTGGTAGAATGCTGTGTCCAGGAGTGCCATGCAGTACCGGGGAAATGCCCAACACGATGCCCAGGAGTTCCTTCTCTGGCTACTCGACCGTGTCCATGAAGACCTCAACCATCTTGTACACCCTAACATCAGAGCCTCTATAAAGGTATGGCTGATATCTCGGTGAACGGACACCTTGGGTTTAATGACCGAATGTTTGGCTGTTTGGTCTAAGGATGTTACACAGTACGTTCACCTCTTAAGGTCAGCCGAATTAGGAGACCGTTAACCACTCTAGCTGTTTACAGAGGTTGCACAGAATGGCATTTGTATCAGCAGCTCCATAAAAGCTTAGGATTTCAATAGTTTAAATAGCAAAGCGGGAGAAGAGCCAAACGTGGCTGGATTTATTGAGCCATTCTGCCCTGGAATGTCAGCTAGGAGTTTCACATCAGACATTAGTCTGACAAAGATCAGGACAGAAGAGTTTAGGGCACTTAAATCCTCCCCTGTATCAAACGCATGGGACGTTATTAAGTCACATCCTATGGCCTGTTCGGAAGAGGGCTCGTTCGGTTTCTTTTTACAGCCTGTGGTGTCCTGGTCAGGGTCGGCCACTTGCATGCTTGCATGAGGTCATTCAGCTTGTCCGACTGATTTAGATGTACGTTGTGGTTTCCTGGAGTTTGTGCCGAGAAGCACGAGGCTGACAGTTTCCTGGCTGACTGACTGCGCTGCTCTGAAGAGCCAGATGCTTAGCTGGAATCTTAAACTTATAGAAGAACGCCAGTCTCTCAAATTATTAATCACTTACACTGTCTCGGTAGTATATCAGGGTTTTATTTATTGACTCAAGCTCTACCTTACGGTGCAGCATAATCATATTCACCTTTAATCTGACTTCTGTCTACAGTTATTCTGTACGCTTGGATTGTGTAGATAGTAGTGCTGGGCGGTATACCAGTTCATACCGAATACCGGTGTTTATTTTTGTTATGATATTACTTTTTAAAATACCGCAATACCGGTGTATGTCGCTTAAACAACGTTCGGAACGCCACACTTTTTGAAAGGGGTCCCTTTTCACTGTTGCACTGTGGTGAGGGCACAGCTGTATGGGGTCGTGTTTAGTCACTATTTAGTGTGGTGTTTTTTGACGATATTCACTCATCATGACAGTAAAATAGGGCATTCTAAGTCTGCAGTATTTCCTCTCTCAATCAGTAGAAAATATGGTTAACACCCCGTCATGCATGAAAAAAAAATACCGTCATGTACCGTGAAACCGGTATAATTTTGAAAAATACCGTGATATAAATTTTTGGTCATACCGCCCAGCACTAGTAGATTCTAGATGGTTTAATAGCAGATATACTAGTACTGTTTTGTTTTTTCCTTAACTACGCTGAATTTATTTGATCAGTAAAAACAGAAATATTGTGAAACAGTATTATAATTTAAAATAGCCATTTTCTATTTGAATATATTTTAAAATGTTATTTATTATTAATTTATTAAGCTGAATTTTCAGTATCATTACTCCAGGCTTCAGTGCCACATGATCCTTCAGAAATTATTCTCATACGCTGATATGCTGCTCAAGAAACATTTATTATTATTATTATCAATGTTGAAAACAGTTGTGCTGATTAATGTTTTTTTTTTTTTTGTGGAAACAGTGATACACTTTTTCAGGATTAGTATAAAGTAAAAAAAAAAAGCATTTATTTAAAAATGGAAATCTTTTCATCTTCATTATAAATGTATTTACTGTCAGTTTAGAGCAATTGAATGCATCCTTGCTGAATAATAAAAAAAAAAATTATTTAACAAAAAATCTTACTGACCCCAAACTTTTGAATTGTAGTGTATATGATGCAGTTTGTAGCTCGTAACTGTCCAGTAAAAAAATTTGTTGGGTAATATTTGGAGAATTCACTTTGACACACGCCTTGTGGTGATCATATCATGTTTTCAAAAGTTGTATAAATTATTATATAGTTGTGGCCCTGCTTTATGTACTTGACTTGAAATTCATCTGCCTGTAAATGACACATTTTATATATATATATATATATATTTATTTTTTTTTTTT